CTCATGGGTGCTTTTAGAGATTGTCAGTGGTTTCCAGTAAGGCAGTGACCATGCATCTGTGTAATCCACATTCTCTAGAGCAGATGATAGAAGTCTTTTGCTGGGGTTAGGCTGGTCTGATTTGGCTCTGAACTGCAGTGTCTGAAGTTTTCAGACTCAATCCTTGCTGCTGCCATGTTGATTAATTTTGATGGCATTTCCCTCCCAGTGGCATGGCAGCAGCAGAGAAGGGCTGGGCAGGTGTAACACAAGCTTCACTTCACAGTTTATTACATCTCAGAAATTGTAAGACAAAGGAATCTTTCGCTTTTTCAGCCCTTCTTAGATGCAAGATCAGAGGGAACTGTCCAAAGGTGCCCCTTGGCTCCCTTCATACAACATGCCTGGTCATAGCAGGGGAAGGTTTTTCTCAAAAGAAAAAAAGCACTGGAGCTAGAATGGTAAATATGTGAAGAAAAATGGGGCTTGTGTCAGAGCTGTTGTTTAGTGCTTGATTTCAGGGTTTGATGGATTAACATACAATTAATCATTCAAGTTCGAACACCATTCCCCATGACACATTGCTAATGTATGAGAGTGAGGAGGAAAACCGTTTGCAGTCCTTGTGTGCACCTGGTACAGCAGCCTCGGACATGACATGTGCCTTAATGAAGCATAAGCCTGGAATAATAACTTCCTTCATGGGAAAATATGCTTAATGAGTTCCTCAAAAATGTGAATGGGGATGGACCATTTTCAGTCTCAGTCTCTTCTAGCTAAGGATGTGTTGGCTGAGATTGGAATCCTTCATGTTCTTTCTTTTTTTCTTCCATTAGTCGAATTATTCCAGGAAGTTTTGAGCACTTTTTGGGGAAGGCTGGAAGTTCCTAAACATGAAATCTTTGTCATTTTCCTGCGAAGATATTTCTTACTTCACTAGATGAAAAAGCAAATGGGGTTTGTTTGTTTCCTCCTGCTTGCCATGATGCAGTGCTACAAGCACACTAAAGATCCAGGACCAGTGTGGCTTGTCACTGTTTCATTTTAGAGGTTTCTCTTATAGTATCCTGAATAGAAAATCAAACAAATGAAAAGCCAGATCTTTGTTGTTTTAGTCCAAAGCCTGCCCGCTGTTATTGTTCTGCCTATTCAGCTCCTACAACTGGAAGGTATAGAGAGAAATAGGTTTTGCTTCTTCATTCTGCACAAGAGGGTTTGACACAAACTCCTCCGAAGTTCTTTGATTATGAAACTGTTTGAAGTACAAGCATGTTCCTCTAACCCATCCTGTACCTCTTGCCTTAGGGGAGCCTAGAGGGCAGGACCACAGGTAAATGGGCAGATAGCTGAGGTCTGATCTGTGTGGGATCCCATCTGTGTGGAGAGAAGACTGTTTGGGTTTTGTTTGACATCCTTTTCTAATTGGGAAGCTTGTGTGTTTTCAGAAGTAAATGAAGTAAAATCTAGTAGTGGAAGTATTTTGGGATAAGAGGTGAGAGAAAGCTGTGAGGGCTTTGCTTGGGAGTGCTGAAGAAGCATAGATGATGAACAAATCTTTATTTCTGACACTACTCTCTGGAGCAATTTTGTGTTTACCATAGTGTCAGGTGAAGCCAACAAAATCCTGATGTGCATGATCTATTGTGAGGTACTGAAAAATGTCTTCAATGCAATCATGCAATAGGTGATCAGCAATCTGTGATCTAGTGTCCCTGCTACTGTAACAAGTAGCCAAAAGAACACCACCAAATAGCACATAAGAACACTGCGGGGATTATATCTCTTATTTTCCTGTATGAAGTGATTTAATATGCCACTGGAAGAGGAAGAAGTGAAGCTCAGAGCATGGGTAAGCTATAGGAGTATGGTGAAACTTGCTCCTAGCTCATCAGAAGAGACCAGGGTGGCTGTGGAATGACCGCTGTCCTGCAGGGCACAAGAGGGTGCTGTGCACTCAGCTGAGAGCAGGCTAACCCGTTGTGCGGCAGAACGGGTTACTGTGACTGACTGATGCAAATAAAGATGACAAAAGTAAAGCTTTAATTATTAAATGGAAAGCTTTGCTGCAGAATCTCCTTCCTGCTATCCAGAATTGCCCGAAATGTCTGGCAAGTGAATGAAGCTTCAAAATGATTCCAGAGAATTTTTATGCTGTGAGGAAAATGGATACAGAAATAAGCAGTAGCTAAGGAATGAAAGCTGAACAGACAAGATGAAACAGGAATGTTATCCAGAGAAAGACAGTTCAGGAAGAACCTCTATGGAATCAAAGACGACAGGAGAAAGGTGCCAGACCATGCAGGTGGCCTGTGATGGCAGGCACTGCACCTGGTCTGGGGTAGCTGGGACATGTTGGCAGTGAAACTCCATTTGCCTGGATGCTGTGGGAGCAGGGATGATGTTTGACAAACCTATGGGATACCTATCCCAAAATATCCAGAGCCAGTAATCTCTAGTTTCCTGCCAGCCTCTTCACAAACCTCTCAGGCAGGAAAGCTCCACAGGTTCCACAGAGAAGATGCAAACTGCATGCAAGTGTGCAGGATAAGCTGTGAAGATACTGTTGCTTGCAGTGCTTACCCTCTGGGGGTAAGATGTAAAGAACACATATGAGCACCTGAGCAAAAGGAAGATCTTTTCTGTACAGAAAAGAACGGTGGTTTTAGCAAGGGCTGGTGGAATTTTTAGGGAAGCTGAATCCTGCTTCTACCCGTGCCTGTGACATGTTCTTGGATCTTTCACAAATTGTGCCTTATTGTCTGCAGTCTCCCATCTGTGAAATAGGCATAATAACACTGAGGCATCTTCAAAATGAAAATGTCAGTCTGATTCTGTATATTTGATAGGGAAAGGTGGGTCTGCATGGGAGGAGCCCTAGGGACCCTTAAGTCCTGTGTATTATAAACCCCCTAAATAGCTAGATCTCTATGTAAAGTTATCATTACTACAAGATACTGAGTCAGATCTGCTTTCCTGTGTTAGGAACAGCTTTATCTTGAATTAAAGCCTTAACTGAATTAAAGGCAGAAAACCAGTAAGTTACAACAGGAGCAAAGTGTTTGCAAGATACAGCCTTAAAAGTTTAAAAAGCATCATTTCTGCATGAGAAATAGCAGATGCAGTTACTTCTTGATGCCGATTCATGGAACCCAGATCATAAGAGTTACTTTGCATGGGGGGTTTTACTATTTTTATTCATAGGCAGCCTATCAAACTTCCACTTCGTCTGTAAAGTAAAGGTAAGTATTTGAAATGATCATGTTGGGAATTTAGTTGGGCTTTGCCCTGGTGATTTATAAAGGCAGCTGTGCCCATTTCTTTCTGCGATGTGGTTTAAAAGTGATTCAAGACATAAAAAATACCCGGAGCAGGATTTGTGGTTATGGCAGGGATCTAGAGGCTGGCACAAGGTGGTTTAGTTAAAAGACTTATGAATTAGAAACAAGGTGTTGCAAAACGTGAGAGGTGTTCAGAGGTGTAACTCTTCCTGGCACGTTCATTTCCTGACAGCTCTGAGGTTAGAAGGGATCCCTGCAAATCATCTGGTCCAACCTCTTCCTCAAGCAGAGTTGGAGCAGGTTGCCCCATGTACAGCATGGGGGAGATTTCTCTTCTTGGATATTTCTGCAAATGGAGACCACAACTTTTCAGGGCAACCTGTTCCAGTGTCTCACCACCCTCACAGGAAGAGAAGTGTTTTCCTGTCTTCAGATGGGTTTTAATCTGTGCCTATAGCCTCTTCTTCTGTTAGTGGGTGCTATTGAGAACAGTCTGGCTCCCTCTGTGTTCCCTCACAGCAGTTCAGTGTTTCTATGTCCTTCCTGAAGGAGAGGTTGATAATCCTGCTTTATTATGTGAGTTTAAGTTCTGTATCTTGGGAGGATAGGCTGTTTTAGAAGGAAATTTTTATACCATGTCCTGGATGAAGGATACTCTGAATTCAGTGATGAAGTACAACCTTAAATCAAGATTACTGGCCTCTCTTTGACATAGGAATGAGCTCTTCAAAGGTGTGTGAGTTTGTGCTTTAATCTTCAAGACACACACACACACACAAAAATCTTCCTTCGTAGGCATAGGTATGGCCCAAGCACCAGAGTCCCGTTTCTATCTGCTTACAGAATGTGCATAAGGAGGGAGGGATGGAATTAAAAGTTAAGCTTGCAGCTGGCAGAGGACTTGCCTTTCTTGTTGTGGATTTGAGGATGCCAGAAAAACACAGATGCCTTGTTGCAAAATCATCTCTGCTGGCCCATGGGAGACAGGCAGATTGGTTGTCAAATATTGCAACCTCCTGAAAATGAAGAAAATCTCTTCAGTTTTAACTTGCTCAAGATTTGAGCCACAATTTGCACCTTTATGTGGCCCAACAGACATTACTGGTGCTGTATTAGAAAGTAGCTGGTTTGGTCATTAAAACAGGAAGGGAAAACCCCTCACTCTTGAGACCATATTCATTGTTGCTGTAGGAGGTTATCCTTCTTGGTTAAAAGATAATGAGTCATATCCAGAAACAGCACAAGTTCCTTGTCCTAGGGGCTCCCCCTTTGGTGCTTTTTGGCTCCCTATTTTACAAAGGAAAGGGAGAACAGTCCTTAGCAGTCAACCAGGATGCTTCCTTGACCCTCACCTGCATTTCTATAGAGCATTGCTCACCTTGAGGTAGGCTCAAATAAAGAAATAAAATCAGTGATTTCATTAGGGTTTGTTACCTGGGGGGCTTTTTAAGCATAAGCTGTTGCTGTCCGAGTCACAGGATCAGGTGTGATTTCCCATTTGCTGGAATACACAGCAAATGTGCGAGCAGGCTCTCGGCTTTTTTTAGCTCAGAGAAGCAAAGGGAGCCCTTTGAAAGATCCTCTGCTTGCCCAATCATCGCTTTCCCTTGCACTGTGCAGCATTATAACATTCTGACAGTGTAAATCCTCACATTTGCCTCCCTCCCTCCTCCCTCCCTCCTTCAGTCATTCTCCCTCCCCCTCCCAAGGCTGCTGCTATCGGATCTATGATGATATGTGATCTCCTGGATACAATCACACACACACACACAAGTACCAGGCACTACTGCTCAGCTGAGCAAAATGTCTTTCTCTTAGAAGTGGTGCTCATCACAGCTTTCAGATCCTTGACGATGTTGCCATGCTTTCCTTTCTGCCTTCTGCCTTCTTCTCTCTTTGTCTGCCTGCTTTTCTTACCCGTGGGTCATTTTTGCCCTGCTGTCTGTAGCTGTATGGACTACCACACCATAGATTGCCGGGATCAAGGACTCCCAAGTGTTCCTAGTTCATTTCCATTGGATGTACGGAAACTTCTTATAGCTGATAACAACATTCAGGTGATACCAGCTGATTTCTTTATATTTTATGGAGATCTGGTCTATTTGGACTTCAGGAACAACTCTCTCACCTCTTTAGAAGAGGGCACTTTTAGCAGGTCTACCAAACTGCTCTATTTAGATTTAAGCTACAATAATTTAACACAGCTTGATGCTGGGATATTCAAATCAGCAGAAAAACTGGTAAAATTGAGCCTTGGCAACAATAACCTGGTGGATGTGGATGAGGCTGCTTTTGAGAACCTGGAACAGCTCCAAGTGTTAGAATTGAATGACAATAACTTACAAAGCCTCAATGTGGCAATTCTAGAAGCGCTTCCCTCCCTGCGGACTATACGCTTAGAGGGCAACCCCTGGGTCTGTGACTGTGACTTTGCCAGTCTTTTCAGCTGGATACAGGACAATGCATCGAAGCTCCAGAAAGGTAAAGCTCGGTGCCTTACAGCACAGCATGTATGTTCCTTATGTGTCTGTCTTGGAGGGCAGGAGGGGTCTTGGTCAGGTTGTCTGTGTGCTGCCTGCAGTGTCCCACACTGCAGTTTGGTCCAACTGTAATTGCATGCTTTCAGCAAAGCAGTCCATTAAACTGATGTTGGGTTTTTAGCAGCAGCTCATCCTCCCAGTTAAGAAATACAAGTTAAAATTTAAGCCCCAATAGTGTTGATTTATAGACTAAACTTACATAGGCAGTGAAAGAGGCTTTTCAAATTCATTCAGTTCCGAGCTGGTTCTTTTCCAGACTTCATTTTCTCTTTGGTAAATAACACTTTCTACAATAAGCCCTTTGAGAGCAGCTAAATATTCTGTGGCAGCTCCTTAGGAAAAGTGATTTTTTTCTCATCTTGCTGATCAGCTCTAAAGCTGCTACAGAAGAGTTAAATCCCCATTTTATGCAACTGTGATTGTCAGCCCTTTCCTGGAAGTATTTTGTTGTGATACTCTGTGTTTGAAACTCTCTTTGGTAGCTTGTTTTGGGCTCTTTTTCATTAAAATAGCACTTTTTCCAATACTAAGAATAAATTGAATTGGCTTTGGAACACCTCAAATATAATGCTTGTATTTGGGCCAGTAATTTTCAGAAAAGCATGGGAGAGGAAAACAGTATTAAAACTGGAAGCATAGGAAATCCAGACTCTTGCTCCGCACATCCCAGCCGACCCTAAAGCCTCTCTTAATCCAGCTTTAGCAGGAGATCATCTCCCGGTTCATGCCTCTGAACAAGCACCAGGGTATAATCTTAGGCCATTGAGCTGCCCAGATGCAAACTGCTTGGAGCAAAGAACCTCTGTAAGGGCTACAGAGGCTGTACAGGCATTGCCTGACATGAAATAACTCTCTTGGAGGGGACAGGAGATGGTGAGAACTAAAAGGCTGAGGGAGAAGAGCTCAGGAGAATGGGTTGTGGCCCAGTAACTGTTTCTTTGCATTCAGACAAAAAGGAAGAAAAACAGTGAGGCTACAAATTTCAGAGGTCTTTTCTCTCTTTTCTTGATCAGTAGTCAGTTATTCAGGTTCTTCCTGTGCTCCTGACCTTGGGCAGCATTTCTTTAATATACACATCTAGGTTGCCCTAAATATCCTTAGCTGTAAAGCAGCTGTATTGAGGAAGAATACAGCTTCCTCACTTCTCCTTTGAGGAAAATTGGTGCGGTTTTGCCCTCTCCCTCAGTGAAACTTTCATCTCTATTCTTTCAGAACCAAACCTGAGCCTGTTCTCATGTCTCCCATGATAGCTAAAGTTTGCTCTATTTGAACCAAGTATTTGCCCATCTCTCATGCTAAACATCAGTTCGCTTTCTCAGTGCTTTCCATCTCTTTTAATGAGCTTCTGCTCCTTCCCCTTTATCCAGACTGAGCCTGTTCAGTTTGAGAGTCTGTCCCAGCCCTGTCAGTGTTTTAAAGCATCTCTGAACTTACATCTGGAAATTTCAAGTGATTGAACTCTCCCATAGTATTACCAGTGTTCCCAGTGTCTTCCAAGCTTCGAGATGCTTTCTCACAGTATTTTCTCTCGTCCACAGTTGTGTTTCAGCCAAATAGCTAAAAAATTACTCCCTCATCCGCATCTTCCAAACTTTCAGCTAGATTTGATTTGGGAAGACAAGGAGGGAAGGAGCAAATGCTCAAATGGTTGGTTTAATCAGAGCTGTCCCCCTGACATGCCCCTCTGGCTTGTATTTGTTCCTAGGAGTAAGTCTCCTGATATCTTTGCAGCCAGTGAGCTACAGTGCATGTATGCAGAAAAGCCTGTGGAGTCAGCAAGCTGCTGCCACAAACATACAGGCTGTCTCCTGTAATAAACCAGCAAAACATTATTCACAGAGGGCAAAATTAACCCAAAAAAGGAAAAGCTGTCTCAAAGGCATTTCTAAAACCACACGGCCACAATTCAGTGCCTTTCAAACCAACTTTTGGCTAGTCAATGTAAAAATAATTCTTAGAATTATAATCTGAGTGCATTTTATATCCAGTTTTCAGTTTTTAATGATACCACAATAATATACCCTTTAAGAACTAATCACATTTGCACTGTGTGGCTGTACTTGTCCACGGCCTGGTTTGCGTGGCCTTTCCTGGCAGGGATGGGAAGAGCAACTCACTGAAAGATCCAACATTCTGCCTCCATGGCTTCCTCAGAGTGCTGCTGAAAGGCTGGAGAGAGAAGTATTCTGGCAGCAAACGCATCAGGCTAAGTAGGGCAGCACACATTATGTCTGGAAATACAACAAAAGCAAAAGGGATGCATTTTCAGGGGCCGAGAGAAGAGCTCATTTATCAATGCTACATGGTTTTCCTTTATAATTCTACTTAAGCATTTGCATTGCATGGCCTGTACAAATGGGAAATTAAGGAAGGGGAAAGGAGTTAGCTGGCGTTTTTCTTCTCGTGTTCTTGAAGAATGAACTGTAATGAGCAGTGCAGGGTGGTTCTGTGACACATGGAAGTTCCCCAGCCCGTAAGTGGCAGACTTTGTAACCTGGGTTTACTGAGGAGGGAAAACTGTGGAAGGGTGAATGACAGTAAACTTACAATGGTGGTCCCCAGCCCTTTCATGAGAAGCACTGCAAAGAAACTAAAGGCTCTGTACACTGTCCTGTGTCTTACACTGGCTTGGGATGCTTCTGTCATTAAGGTCTCTGAACAAAAGCCATACTTCAACTCGTTAGTTTTGCAAAAGCCAGGTCTATTCTTTCTGGCATGCTTCCAGAAACAGCTAGTGGAGGTCTGCCTTCTACTGACCTGTCTGACTGTCTGACTGTGAAGCTTCTTCCCAGCTGAGCTGCCTTTGCACATCGGACCTGTCACTTCACACAAACAGCTGGGGTTTGAATCATTTTGCAGATCCCTGCATTTATTCACCTAACCTAAACGTCTAACTAAAGGCTTAATTTGGCACTGAGTGAATGCTCCTGCATGCCACCTCTGCAGGCACATTTGTTAAAGAAACTGCACTAAAAGTTTTGGCATTAAACTCAGCACCTTACCTGCAGTCAAACCCAGCACTTTAAAACAGCAAACATTTTTCTACATGTAAAGAGATAGTAAACCAGCATTTTCATCATACTCCAAAACCGAACCACAGTCTTTTCCTTCTGATTTGGTTATTGAAGAATTCACAAAGGAATTGTGAAATCCAATGGTGATGAGTAGAGACTATAACTATTATTCTTTCTCCTAGAGCTGATAGATCTATTCTCTGCTTGCCTATATTTGATCTATCTTGAATATTACAAAAAGCAATTTTCAAGTCTCTAAAGTGAGAATTGAAGAAAGAGGAGGGGGAAGAAGAGAGTTCGTTTGGGATCTGACAGAAGAAGTTAAGAAAAATGTGTTTAAAAGCAGGAGACGTGCTGAATAAAGGGAAGGGTGGTTATAGGTTAAGTTAAATAATTTTGGGGCATAAGGTTCCAAATCTAAGGAAATTTGGCATTCATTGTTTTGAGATCGAGAGTCATCTTTTAGATTTCTTGCATTTTCTAATTAAGAGAGAGCTGGTAATCCTGTAAAAATACACTCACTTTCTCATACTTGGAAGGGCTTTCTTCAGCTTTCAGAGCTTTTTCTGTATCACATTTTGTCTGGGCTAAAAATGCACTTTTCCTTTCTTACCTCATCTCTTAACCTACTTCTTTTAGGAGCACTGTTTGAAACTGAGGGCTCATCCAGCAAAAGGCTGTTGCTGGTGCACATGACCTACAGAACTGAGGTTTATGAATTTGTGTTTAAACACAAATGGCTTTATTTCTGATGAAAAGTGCTGTTCCAATTAGTGCATACCACTCTGAAAACTGTTTCTGGAATCCCTCTGAGGATCCCACCTTGATGAAGGGATTGGGATCAGATAAAATGCATATAACAGGGACAAACAAGTAGTCTGCAGTGGCCACACAGTAGAGATCCGTGGCTGATTTTTCCTGTCTGAGAACATGCTTTGGGCAGCTGTGCCTGTGACCTTGTTTGCTAATGACTAATGCATTTTTAACATTACTTTTAATTAGAGTTGAAGGATTCCCGGGAGAGTGACTCCAGTGTCTCCTTTCTGTCATCTTGCCCTCATTTTGCTTCTTACTTCTTTTCTTCTCACTATCTTTGGAAAAACCTTTTGGGAAAGTTGTGCAGTTTCTGGGATTGCAAGAAATAGTCAGTGTCTGTGCTTTCTGTGCTGGATGCAACAATGTTTTCCCAACCCTTTGTGTTTAACACAGACTTCAAGTTTCCCACTATGATTTGCAATAATGAAAAATTTTGCTGCCCTCTGTTAAAGCAGTATCAGGTTTTTAGCATTTTGATGAGGTTTAGACTGAGCATTCTTATTGGTAGCTTGAAAAATTCGTTTGGAATTGGCCAGTGGCAGAATTCCAGATACATTTGTGCTGTGTGTGTGATAAATAAAGGAAACAGATGTTCTGAATGTCTGACATTAAAGTAGTGCAAGTTCAATGCGAGGATCAGTGCTCAGTGTTAGACTTGCAGATGGGATTAGCTAGCACAGTGTCAGTTCACCAGCCCCCTGGATGCTAACACTTACCTTCACACCACTAGAAGCCAAACTGGTGAAACAAGCCTGAAGAATACAGAACTGGCTCCATGTGCAGGACTGTATCCAAAACTGAGGTAATCACCAAACTTTACTAGAAGACAGTTCATTAGTGGCGGCAAATCCTGTGTCACAACACAAACACGTAGGGAGGACTTTGTTTCTCTCTTCATCTGGGCAAATGTCACTCCACTTTGTAAAGTGTTGTTCACAAGACTGCAAATTTTTAAGATACTCAAAGGGGCTTGTAGTGCTAATACTGATACAGATGCTGTTTAGCTACTTTAAGGACTTCTGTAGCTAGTACCTATATAGATGGATAGGTAAATTCTGGTAAAGTGGTATATTTCCAGGTAAAAGCTATCTATGGGATGAAGAGGATGTAG